AGGAAGGAAGGAAGGAAGGAAGGAAGGAAGGAAGGAAGGAAGGAAGGCTGAGTCAACCTTGAGCCCCATCAGGATCAAACTCCAGGCTGTGGGTAGAGTTTGCCTGCAATACAGATAATCCTCAACTTATGACCATAATTGGGCCCAAAACTTCTATTGCTAAGTGAAACAATCGTAAATTTTTCCCCATCTTATGACCTTTCTTGTCACAGTTGTGATTCCCTGCAGTTGTTAAGTTAGTAGCCCGGTTGTTAAGTGAATTGGGTTTTCCCATTGACTTTGCTTGCGAGAAGGTCACAAAAGGGGGTTGTGTTATTCCCCCTGGACACTACAACCGTCATAAATATGAATCGGTTTGCCAACCCTCTGAATTTTGGATGGGGACCATGGGGATGCAGGAAGAGTCAAAAGGTTGAAAAGTGGTCGTAAGTCCTTGCTGGCTGGGGAATTCTGGGAGTTAAAGTCCTCCAGGCTTAAAGTTGCCAAGGTTGGAGACTCCTGCACTAATCCTGTAGATTTCAGGTAGATTTTAATCATTGTACAGTACTGGTTGATGTACAACATTGCTGTGCGACCTTTAGTTGATTGGAAGTTGAAATGTCTTTGAATATTAATAGCTCAGGTTGGTAGTTATGTTGTTGGTTGGCGCTCTGAGCTTGGTGATTTGGTAGCAAACGTTTCGTCCCCATTCGAGGAGATTTTTTTGGATTGTACAAAATCCGAAGCGCTCTGAAGAGGTCTCTTCGAATGGGGACAAAATGTTTGCAACCAAGTTGCCAATCTCGGAGCTCCAACCAATAATATAGACATGGAAGTTTTATCTTGTTTAATCACATGGTTAGAGGTTGGATTTGTCCCGCAGACACATGCAAAGGGAATTGTGCAAAAATATATTTTCACATAGGAGTCTAAATCAGACACAGTCCCTGCTAGTTTTTATTTACTTTACTTTACTGTCATTGTACCTTGTACAATGAAATTAAATGCCATCTACAGTGTACATTATAACTATAAAAATAAAACCCAAATACCCATCCTTGAATTGAAAACCCCTGATATTGCATTAATATTGCACTATACAGTAGAATTCAATATAGTTACTGTTCTGGGATAGAAGCTGTTTTTCAACCTATTTGTCCTTGTTTTTATTATCCTGTACCGTCTGCCAGATGGTAATAGTTACCATCTGGCAGACAGTATTACCATAGTTAAAAAAAAAAAAGTGCCCAGGATGAGACAGATCTTTCAGAATGTTTTGAACTTTCTTAAGACAGCAGGAGTTATAAAACTCTTCCAAAGAGGGGAGAGGGCAACCCGTGATCCTCTGGGCAATGATGTTAACCCTCTGGAGTTCTTTCCTATCTGCCACTGTGCAATTGGCAAACCATACAGAGGTGCAGTAAGTTAAGATACTCTCTATGGTGCAGCAGTAGAAGATCACCGGCAGTTTTTCATCCAGTTGTTGATTCCTGAGGAGCCTCAGGTAGTATAATCTCTGCTGGGCCCTTTTGACCAGGGCTGCAAGGTGAGCACCCCAGGTCAGGTCCTCTTTTATGGTAACACAGAAACTTGGTCTCCATTGATAAGCAAGGGCCGGATGCAGTGGTGGGATTCAACATTTTTTACTACTGGTTCTTTGGGCGTGGCTTGGTGGGCGTGGCAGGATACTGCAAAATCCCCATTCCCTCCCCACCCCACTAACCTGCTTTCCAGCTCCCTTCTCCTGTGCAGGGCAATGAAAGAAGAGCCAGCCGATCAGCTGGGACTCAATGGGAGGCAGGGAATAGATGTGGGTGGGCCCAGTCAGAGGTGGGATTGGCCGGTTCTCCGAACAACTCAAAATTTCCATTACCGGTTCTCTAAGAACTGGTCAGAACCTATTGAATACCACCTCTGGCTGGATGTCTGATCTATTCCTTCTATAGTCCACTATAAGCTCCTTGGTCTTACTGGTGTTAAAGACCAAGATATTGTCTCCACACCACAAAATCAACCAGTCCACCTCATCTTACACAATCAAGAAATACTGTTGTTACTGTTGTCATCTTACACAATCAAGAAATACTGTTGTTGTCTTACTTGGATAACCTCTGCTCACGCTAGTGTCTCTTCCCTGGAGAACAAACTGCCCATTATTATTTATATTTAGTGGGACAACACAGTCCCACTAACTCCTGAGATGTATTTTTTTGTGTTATTGTTATTTTTTATCTCTGCAAATAAGAATGTCTATCTGAGAAGCAGTGTTAGCGTTCTTGGTATTTTGTTCTTTATGTGCTAATAAGTTCAGATCTGCAATGGTTCAGAAGGACTTGGGGTGCAGAAACTATTATTGCTCGTCCAGTGTTTTGGCTCATGAGGATGGAAAGGATGTTAGGTGGTAGTGATACAAGTAGTTTTGGCTTGTGGGGATGGCTTCAATCAAGGTTTAGTGCTTCCAAGAAAACTGGCTTCTTTCTGAGTAGGGAATATGTTAAATGTCTTGAACCAAGTGCTAGATTTATCTGTTTATTTACAGAGTCCTGGTCCTGAGTTTTGATGTAAACGCCCCAGAGGCTACTGAATAAACACAATAAATATGAATCATAAAAGCCTAAAATAACTACAAGGATAAAAATGGGGGGGGGGGGACAATAAAAAGAGCAGCTTTCAGAAAGGAAATGAAAGTACCATTCAATCTTTAAGGGAGATAGGGTGTTCGCTTGTTTTGGATTGAGTTCCTGCCAGTGGTGGGCTGCAACCAGTTTAACAACCGGCTCTGTGAGTGCATGCTGAAGTGTTATGTTTTTTATCCCAATGGAATAGGAAGAAGAAGAAGAAGGAGCTAAGGCCCAGGCAGAGCCTGTTGTTTAAACTAATTTATTGTTCATCCTCTAAACTGCACTGTCACAACAGAGAACCTCATATAACCCTGCAGATTTTGCTTTCCAGGAATGGGAAAAGAAGTTTGCTTCGTGGGGTCCAGAATTGTCTCTGGTGGGACATGCTGTGTATTTAAAACAATGGCGTGGGAATGAATTTAATGATATGGATGGATGTATTTGCTTGTTTTTTTTGTTTTTTGTTTGCATCTAGGGTGTGTTGGAAAGCTTTCTGGGCACAGCCGTTACAGGAGCTGTTTTTTGTCTATTTGCTGGCCAGCCACTTACTATTCTGAGCAGCACTGGACCTGTTTTGGTCTTCGAACGGCTTTTATTTAACTTTAGCAAGTAAGTCTGAAAGGAAGAGAGGCTGGTAATACCATGGGGATTTCTGATAGAAAAATGTGTAGCAACCTATTGTTGGAAGTGTCCTCAGTTCCTTGATTCCCAGCCTGCCCTTCTGAAGGACCTCAATTCTGGAATGACTAGTTATTCCCCAAAATAAATAAATGCTTGACTTACGACCGCATTGAACCTCACAATTCCATTGCTAAGCAAGTGGATCTGGCTGCCCCATTGACTTGGCTTGTCAGAAGGTCACAAAAAGTGATTACAGGACCCAGGGACACGGCAACCGTCATAAATATGAGCCAAATGTCTATGGAGATGCTCAGCCATCCAGGTCATGGTTGTCCCAAAGGTGCTTTTTCAAGAGGCAGCTGGAGACTTCCTCCGGTTTTTTGTCCCCTTGAAGATGCTTCGCTTCTCATCCAAGAAGCTTCTTGAATGAGAAGCGAAACATCTTCAAGGAAAATAAAGAGTCCAGTTGCCTCTTGAAAAAGCACCTTTTGGATAAATATGAACCAGGTTTTTTTTTTAACAGATTAACAGAGTTGGAAGGGAGCTTGTGGGCCATCTAGTCCAATCCCCCTTGTCATCACCCAAGCAGGAGACCCTACACCATTTCTGACAAATGGCGGTCCAATCTCTTCTTGAAAAGCGTCTGAATTTTGATCAGATGACACGCTGCAACAGTGGTGTGAAAAACAATAGAACTACGCCGCCCACGGTTGGACTTAAGCAAAATTATCTGCTGCAATGTTCTGACAGTCAATGACTACTTCAGCTTCAACCGCAACAATACAAGAGCACACAACAGATACAAACTCAACGTAAACCGCTCCAAACTTGAGTGCAGAAAGTAATAGCAACAGAGTGGTCAATGCCTGGAATGTACTACCTGACTCTGTTGTTACATCCTCTAACCCCCACTCCTTTAACCTCAAACTATCCACTATAGACCTCACCCCATTCCTAAGAGGTCTGTAAGGGGCGTGCATAAGTGCACCATCGTGCCTACCCTCCCTGTCCTATTGTCCCCATTTATTCATACCTATTTCCTGTATTCTTACTCATGTTTATACTTATACCTATTATCTTGTAAGCAATTGACAAATAAAGTAAATCAAATAAAAAATAAAAGAAGGAAGGAAAGAAGGAAGGAAAGGGAAAGGAAGGAGAACAGGGAAGGGGAAGGAAGGAAGGAGAGAAAGGGAGAGAATGGGAGAGAATACCCATTCCTACGAGGTCTGTAAGGGGCGTGCATAAGTGCACAATCGTGCCTACCATCCCTATCCAATTGTCCCCATTTATTCGTACCTATTTCCTGTATTCTTACTCATGTTTATTCTTATACCTATTATCCTGTAAGCGATTGACAAATAAAATAAAATAAAATAAATAAATAAATTCGAACAGTCACTAAACGAAAGGTTGCAAGTCAAGCAACTACCTGTATTACCATTTAAGTAGTTGTGTGCTATTTCCCTCTCTTTCATCATCTTTATTTTCAATTTCACTTGATTTCTTCCTTTGCAGAGACCATGGCTTTGATTATATGGAGTTTCGTCTCTGGATCGGCTTGTGGTCAGCCTTCCTGTGTTTGATCTTGGTTGCTACCGATGCTAGCTTCTTAGTTCAGTACTTCACCCGGTTCACAGAAGAAGGCTTCTCTTCTCTGATCAGCTTCATCTTCATCTATGATGCCTTCAAGAAGATGATCAAACTCGCCGATTATTATCCCATTAATTCCCATTTTAAAGTGAATGATATTACGCTTTATTCCTGTACCTGCGAACCACCAGATCCAGGTAAGGGTGGAAAACATTATTTCTTTGTTTGAAGGGTGAATTCTTAATAAATAATTATTTTATTAAATTCTAACAAAACCGTGATTTCTTGCTTCCCTGTTTTGAAGTCTCAGGCTGTCATCCCTCCAGACAAAAGCTTCGGGTACCAAATGTTCATCCTTGTTCCGTTAGATTTGTGGGACCAGGAGGGTGAGTTTTGCCCCCAATAGCTAATTGTGGCCTTGTGCGTATTCGCCACTCGGAAGTTTGCTCCCCATAATTGTTCTCCCCACAACCTGCCGCGCCAAGTTACTTACCTTGTGAAGATCTAGCAAGATGTCTCCTCTCCAGCCTCTCAGCCACGTGCATCCTTCTGAGCCTTTGTGGGCCTCACCTGGCAGGTTGCCGGGTGAAATGGAGCTTTTGAGATGCGGATCCAGCCTGCTGACACTCTCTGTTCAGCTCTCCACAGGCCTCCCCCCATCTGTTGCAGGCCAAAATGAAGCTTCCAGGGGCCGGATCTGGCCCTTGGATGCTCCATTCGACTCTCCGTGGGCCTTCCCCTGCCTGTTGCAGGCCAAAATGGAGCTTTCAGGGGATGGATCCAGCCCTCAGAAGCTCCATTTCGGCCTGCAATGGGCCGGGGGAGGCCAGTGGAAGCCCAAACGGAACTGCAGAGGGGCCCACATGGCTGAGAGGCTGGAGAGGAGGCTGCTTGCTAGATTTTCACAAGAAAAGTGACCCTGCGCAGCAGGTTGGGTGGGTGGGGTGAAACAATTGTGGGGAGCATGAGGTATTTCAGGGGTCGGGAGGCCTTGGGTGGTCTTAGGCGGGTGGCCTGTTCCATCAGTAGGCCCCCCCACCCTGAAATACCTAATGTGCACTTAACGAGCCTCACATTCAATTAGCGAATGCATGGGCGAAAGGAGGGAGTGATTTTGTTCAAGTTACGAGATTCACTCCCACAAATCCTTGGGTTACAAATGGAATGGGCAGGCTCCATTACATTCATAACTCGAGGTCTACCTGTACCTGTGGCCTGAGATAAACTCTCTAAAAGAAGCTATAGACCTGTAGTATAAGAAAATTGCTCTTTATTGTCTCACAGTAAAGGAAGATTTATATTGTAATTCAGAGGCAGTGATTGGATGAATAGTTCATGATATAGGTCTCTTCTGAGAAAGAATAGAGAGGGGATTGTGGGAGTTGGAAGTCGCAGAAATCTGGAGCATGCCAACCAGCACACCATAAAATATTTATAACTAGCTCAATACCTGTGCTTTGCTATGAAACTATGTGGTCCGGCTTAGTTTTTGGGGAGGAAAGTAAGGGGAAAAAATTGTGCCTCTACCGACCAGCATCCATTGGTATTCATCTGGCTAGCGTCCTGTCAGTGTGTGAGAGAATTCAGGGCTGTTTGGAAATAGAAACAGTATTTGCTGTATGAGCAAGAAGGAGACAGCAAGGAGCCTGGGCGTGGCTTAGCTCATCTGTTCTGTACTAAAGCTGGTTGGCTTCTGTGAGACTAAAACCGAAACTGAAACTCCTCTCCTCTGCTTGTGTTTTGCATTTGGAACAGATTTCTTTTGAGGTGGGGAAGGGGAGTAGAATTCCTTAGCATCAGAGCGTGTTAATAAAATATAATAAAATAATAAATATAAATATATTTAAATATATTATAAAATAATAAATATATAATAAGATACTGATGCTCTGATGGTCATTTTGAAAAATCCTTTCTTAGCGAGCACCTAGAAGCCAAGAGTGCCAAATTTCAAGTTTGTAGGCTTTACGGTTCTGGAGATTTTGTGATGATGCGTGAGTGGTATTTCGCTTTTATAGAGAGAGATTTTAAAAACCCACAGTTGAAGTTGGCATAGAAGGCATCTTTTCAGCATTACAATGAATCTTATGGCTGAAAAACATAGGACTAAAAAACAAAAACAAAATTTAAATAACGTTGCACAGGTGATCTGATAATGGCTGTTAAGTTGAGGTGAATCAGACTTTGGCAGAGGTAAAAGGAAAAAAAAAAAAGAAACCTTGAGTATCTGGTCTCCTGCCAAAAAGGAAGATGAGTTGTTATCCTGTTCTGAACCTTACCTGTTTGCCCAAGTTGACCTTTGCTGGATGCTTTTCAATTACGCCTTAAATACGAAGGTGGCACGTACAGTCTTCCAAATGACTTCAGGTCCACCTGGAAGATGTCGAAGAAGGATTTCTCACCAGGAAGATGTAGGAAGACTGCTCACTACTGAATATATCACTTTGGGATGGCTCCTAATGAAATCTTAGACCCAGAAGAGGTTGTTGCAAAGGTCGTTGTAAAACTCTTGAGTTGAAACCCAGCCTTTCTTACCTTGGTTGCTTTCAGATGTGTGAGTTGCTTCCAGATCGTTCTGGGGGTACCTCAGTTGGGCCGCACGTCTGCTTTGACCATCCAGGATGGATTCCGTTTCTAATCTAACTTCACAATATCTCCTCTGTTGGTTTCTATGAAGCGGAAAGTATAAATTGCATATTTCCCACCTCGTTTTTCTTCTTCTTCTGCTTGATAAGTCTTTTTCAACAGTGTGTCCCATTCGTTTTCTCTTCCCATTGGAAGAAAAAGAGTCAGAGGTAATCCCAGTTTAGGGATGGGGTCAGGGATGGACTTCAAAAAATTTAGCAACGGGTTCTCTGCCCTGTTGCTGGGTGGGTGTGGCCATGGTGGACGTGGCCCAGTTGGCTTCCAGCACCACGCCGGGTGGGGGCGTTTTTGCCCTCCCCGGACTCCAGAGGCTTTCCTTGAGCCTCCAGGAGGGTGAAAACAGCCTCCCCGGGCTCCGGAGGCTCTCTGGAAACCAGAAACGGGGCCATTTCTGGCCTTCCCAAACTTCTGGGAGGCCCGTTTCTCAGTGTCCCCGAGCCTCTGTGCATGCCCTGCACTTCCCTGCATCCAAAATGGGCCACGTGGGGACTCCTGGGAGGGGGAGGGGTGGGACCAGCCAGGAGTGGGATTTGGGGGTCCTCCAAACTGCACAGAATCTTAGCTAGGAGCTTTCCCGAACCCCTGCAAACCCCCAGCACGCCCAGCCCTGGGTGGGGTAGAAACATTATCAGCATCTATTTTTGAAGGTTTTCAGAAGAATTTGTGGTCTTGTAGAACGCCAACAAGAATGTAGGGAGAGGGTAAGAGTCACCAAAGTGGGTTTCCAACCATGATATACCCCCATGAATCACTGATTGTAGGGTTGTACCTTCACTCTGTTTAGGTATGCAGAATTGGGGATTGGAGACCCCTTTTCCAGGGATATGTCTGAAGACACGCTCAAATTGGGTTGAGAACAAAGGTCTAGATGGCTGTTTCCAGTCTCTTACGTTCAAATGGAAGGTCTGAAGTGGAACAAAAGACTAGGAGAAAAAAAACTCTTAACTGCCACTGAATTCTTAAGAGGAAGAAGTTTTGCTTGAATGTATAATACAGGTAGTCCTCGACTTACAGCCACAATTTGATCCCAACATTTCTGTTGTTAGGGGAGACATTTGTTAAGTGAGTTTTGCCCCGTTTTATGACTTTCCTTGCCTCTGTTGTTAAGTGAATCACCACAGTGGATAGGTTAGTAACCTGGGTTGTTAAGTGAATCTGGCTTCCCCATGGACTGTCTGAAATTTGCAAAGGGGAACCACATGATCTTGGGACACAGCAAAAAAAAAATGCGAGTCAGTTCCCAAGCATTTGAATTTTGATTACAATCCATCATGGGGATGCTGGAAACGTCGTAACTGTGAAAAATGGTCCTAAGTCACTTTTTCAGTGCCGTTGTAACTTTGAAAGGTCGCTAAGTGAACTGTTGTAAGCTGAGGATTGCCTTGCTCAGTGGTTAAAAATGTTGAGCTCGTCAGCTGGAAAGCTGATAGCCCAGGTTCGACACCCAGGCGCCATATCACAGGGTGAGCTCCCACTACTTGCTTCAGCTCCAGCCCATCTGGCAGCTGGAAAACATGCAAACACGAGTAGATAAATAGGTACCACTTCGGTGGGAAAGTAACAACGTTCTATGCACCTTGGTCAAGCTGGCCACATGACTACTGAAGCATGGTGGCTTCAGACAACGCTGGCTCCCTCGGCCAAGAAACAGCAAGCACCTCAAGCTGCTTTCAGTACAGGTAGTCCTCAACTTACAACAGTTCATTTAGTGATTGTTCAAAGTTATGACATCACTGAAAAAAGAGACATGACCATTTTTCACACTTGCAACCATTGCAGCACCTCCACAGTTACCTGATCAAAATTCAGACAGTTGGCAGCCAACTCGTATTTATGACAGTTGCAGTGTCCCAGGGTCATGCGATCCCCTTTTACGACCTTCTGATGAGCAAAGTCAATGGGGGAAGCCAACTACACTTAACAACCATGTCACTAACTTTACAACTGCCATGATTCACTTAACGACTGTGGGAAGAAAGGTCAGGGAAACTCACTTAACAAATGCCTCACTTAGCAACATAAATTTTGGGCTCAGCTGTGGCCATGAGTTGAGCTCTACTTGTATGTCCAAAGCACCCCCCAAATATAATAATCCTAAACAGAACACCACAAATTCACTTTATAGTGTCCCTATTCCCTGTTGGAATTATTTGCGAACTCTTGCTCTTGTTTACTCCAGTAGAAGAATATGGGACTTATGACTTGGAGCGTAACACAAATGTTACAAAATCCAAAATGTAAATATATGTCCTTTAATGCCTCCAACTTGGTCCCACTGTTCAATAATTCTCAGTTGGAGATAAAACTAATTCAAAAATAGTCTTCAAAAGAAAGCAATACAGTCCGAACTTAATGAGCAGATAAAGGTAAAATAAAAAACCAAACAAACTACAATGAAGGAATTTCCACAATGGACCAGGATAAGTAATTACCAAATTCAAGGAGATAAGAAGGCACAGTCTGTTAGAAGGATGCCAACCAAGATAACTTCAGCCCAAAAGAAAACATGCTTTGCTTCTGGCAACGCTGTGTTGTAATTGTCTCTCTTATA